TCCCCATTTTAGTATCTTACAGAGCTGAGGCTCTGTGCGATACTAAACTTTTGTCTTTGAAGGTCCTACGGTAAAATGTGTTTTAGATATGGATGCAGTATTTATATTGTAATCATACTTTGGTTAATGCATAAATAGTTTTTCCATATGGATTCCTCTCAAACGGGCTGCTTTCCTATAGTATTTATTGATTTTTCCCAAGGTTTTCTTAATGGCAGTTCTAAGCTTTGTTTACCCAATTCAAATTTTTATGTACAAGCATACATGATGCAGTGTGGATGTAGAAGGTGCCTGTAATTGTAGTATTTAAAATATTGAGTTAATACAACAAAGGAGATTGGATTAATAAATAGAAACTCAAAATATTATGTTATCTGAATCACATTCAATTTCTAAGTTGATTTGACAAAACAAAAAAAAGTTATGATAACAAATCATGAAAATATTTTTTTACAGTGCTATTAAATAGCTTCATAGAAATATAGTATACGTTTGATTTTACATAAATGTAGTAAGACTTGTTTTAGAATGTTGTATATGTTTAAAACAGAGATATGTATTCTATACTATAATTATATTTTTATGGGGAAGCACTTTAAAACATAAATCATCTGTAAAATGGATAAATTGCAACACAACATTCAGAAGTATTGGGGTTGGTAAATTTCACAAAAGCTGCATTTATCTAAGCGAAAATATAGTGAAAGTAATAATATTGAAATGTTAAAACAGTTTAAAATAAAAAAAAAATATTTTATTTTATTTTAAAGGGTAATTTATTCCTGAATTTTCAGCGTCACATGACCCTTCAGAAATCATTCCAATATGCTGATTTGGCACTCAAGAAGCATTTCTTATAATTATCAATGTTAAAAACAGTTGTGCTGCTTAATATTTGTGTGGAAACCATGATACAGTTTTTTTCAGGACTCTGATGAATAGAAAGAGCAGCATATATTTGAAATAGAAATAATTTGTAACATAAAATGTCTTTAGTGTCCTTACTGTCCCTTTTAATTAATTTAATGCGTCCTTGCTGAATAAAAGTATTAATTTCTTTTTAAAACATCCTTACTGATCCCAAACTTTTGTATATATATTTACCTTTGCCCACTTTTTTCTGAAAGTCCACGTCTTCCTATTTTTTTAACACATAAAAATATACCTTTTATATACATAAAAATATACCTTTTCATAGAACTTGGCGGACGTAACCCGCTTTTTGGTGTGTTCGCACCACAGGAACTGGGATTTTAGTTCTAGGAACAACTTTAGGGGGAACTAAATTAGCTCCTAATTCAGAGTCGGCTCTATACCAACACAATAGGAACACGCGAAACAGCAGCACCCACCATTTAAAAAAAAGCTTTGTACACACAGATTAGAGCCTACATTTACTGATGTAAAATGTAGATGTAGATGTAGAATCCACAGGAAATCACCACAGGCCTTTGTGTGATCGTTTCACCGCTTGGATATTTTGCCAGCCTCTTCCTTTTCAAATGTGGCAGGTGAAACTATAACTCCCATGTGTTAAAGACCAAACTATTTGAACTGTTTTCTCTCTCTAAATTCCACCCTTTGTTTTGCCCACAGCTCTTTTTTATCGGCTCGGGTCTCTAGAGCTGCGAACAATGACAATAAAACTGTGCTTTTTACCCAGCTGCATTGTAAAGTCAACCTTGTTAGAAAACCCAACCACTCCAGCAGCAACGAAACGACAAACTTCATATGAAGTTTTATGAAGTTGTTGACAATGATTCCCTCACTTATCGACAATTAACGCTTCTATGCCACATATTTTCTGTTTGTTTTGACATGCGTTGAGAACGTACCTCCGCTGTATCCAGAGTGCTTGAGTCGTTCGATGCCACAGACCTTGTGTTTAAGTGCTTTGTATAGATGTTGTAAGCTATTAAATACTTGGGTACGGCCCATGGTTTTAAAAGGAAGCAGAGACGGCACACGCTCATATGAATGCAGACCGCATGGGGCGGTGAATGAAACATTCTACCATCTGAAGCTGCTTTGATTGAGGATATATTCATAATTTCATTGGCACGGTTGTTTTCTAAGCAACGCCCTTGAAAATGTGAAGAATATAACATGCTCACTTTATCCAGAGAGTCCTATGGCCTTATGTGAAATTCCTGTTGTGATTTTTTTTTTCTTTCTCCCCCCCCCTTCCATGTTTCATTGTATTTTCAATAGGCAGCAATAACAACATAACTTAAGCCACAGGACTTTATTGTTAAATCAATAAAAGTAATAATGTTGACAAGCTCTTTTCATTGGCCGCACTTCCTGTTGTTTTGAGTGAGGGAAACATGACAAACAAATCATTCTTATTTATTTAGTGCTAAGCATGAAATGGCTTGATTTGCATATGTCATAAAAATAGTTTTACTTTTCGTGTGGCAGTTATTCAGTCTTCTATCTTTAATATAATTTTTATATATTAGCTATATATAGAGAGCATCCCATAGGAATGAAATGCAGA